GTTGCAGTTCAGGAGATAAACAGTTAATAAGATTATGCGATATGAGATCGTTCCGTAACTCCCCAACCGGACCTCACCGGACAATGGTACCTTTTTAGTTACACCCAGCGTCACTACCCCCTCCTACCCTACGAATTTCGAGCCCCGGGACGCCCCTGTTGCTTAGAACAAAGCGATAGAGTAAAATCGTTCCCCTGCGCTGCGCTGGGACGGCTCGCGGGAGAGCTCGTGGGTAATTCCCGTTTATATCATTAAGCAGAGGTTCAAACTCCAGTCTGAACACCACTGGCCACGAGCTTTGGGCTCTGCTCTCACGGAGAATATGTATTTATATAGCATATTTTAGTTTAGATGAACTAGAAGCAATGTTTAATTTCTAAAATTTTATTTTGAAATGTAAGTCAATAACAATTGGCTGAAGCCAGAGCCAACTTATATAGCATATTTTATTTTAGATTAACTAGAAACCATGTTACATTTATAAAGTTTTATTTTGAAATGTAAGTCAATAACAATTGGCTGGAGCCAGAGCCAATGGTGGAAGTCTTTTCACCAAAAGACCCCGCCCCATTTTGGAGGTTCTGCCCACTTTTGGAGTTCACGCCCCATTTTGGAGATCTTCGGTCTGCAGTTATATCTACTTGGAGAAAGCAGCATTTGTGAGCGCAGTGCTGCTTTGTATACAACGTTACCGGGGAAACAACGATTTTACCGCTCCAAAAGCGGCACCTAGTGGACAGAGCCATTGAGAAACAATGAATTTGCATTTTCATTCAGACCAACGCGAAAAGACCAACTAGTGGGCGGGCAATATGCTAATATTTCATGTTGACGTCAACATGTTAGAGCTGTGTTACACACTGCATGAAAGGTAATTTTCAAAAATCCATAATAGGGGCACTTTAAATTTGATAAATTATGTTGTGTGCTTTTGTCATTTTTATTAGTTATTGTTTTTTTAATGTCTGTATTAGTGCTATCAAACTATTAATCGCGATCGCATCCAAAATAAAAGTCTTTGTTTACATAATATATGTCTGTATACTGTGTATATTTATGTATATATAAATACACCCATACAGTATATATTTTGAAAATATTTACATGTATATACATTTATATATTTATATTCTTATATTTTGTATTATATATAAATAACATAACATATTTTTCTTAAATATATATACATGCATGTGTTTGTATTTATATTTACATAATAAACATATATACACAGTATACAGACATGTTATGTAAACAAAAACTTAGTTTGGATGCGATTAATCGCGATTAATCGTTTGACAGCACTAGTCTGTATAGTTTTTATTCTTTTTTTTTTTTCAATTTTCAAATTGTATTCATTTTATTTAAATTTTATTTTTATTTCAGTTAATTCATCAAATACAACTAAATGAAAATGAGAAATGCTGAAAAGTTATTTTTTAATATTTAATTTTATTTCCATTAATGTTTAATTACATTACATCACACACTTGTTATGAATCCACCATACATTTTCCAAGCTAACCTTGTCTGTGCACGTACAGAAGAACATTTGTAGCCTACACAACACAACTATTAGTGAATGAGACCCAAAGTATGAGGGTTATGGTATTTGCTTGTCTTTGTTGAAAAAAAAAAGTGATCACACTTTGCTGTGGAGGTCGTCTGGTTATTTCACATTTCTAAACGCTGGATTTATCTATCTGCACTTGTCTCTGCCAGTCGGTTGTTCATGATTCCCAGCGCTCCGACCCCTCCGGAGAACTCGTTGTAACGTGAGCTGCTCCCTAACTGGCGAGGATGTCCGTTGGCCATCTCTGACAGCTGCTTCTGCATGATGGCCAGATTAACTTTATTAGCGGCCAGAAAGTCCTTCATGGAGATCATCTCTCCAGACATCCGCCGTCCATCTGCCTCGCTGTCATTGACTCCGTCAGTCTCGATGGATTCGTCTCGTCTGGTTCTCATGTGGCCGGGGGCGACCACGTTCCTCCGTGGATGCCGGTTCCCTCGGCCCGGGCAGCGACAGGGAGTCTCCAGCCTCCGCAGAAGCCAGTTGAGAACTTGCTTGATCACGATGGAAATTACGTTGAACAGCGAGTAAATGCAACACACCCCTGTGAGGATGAAAAGGAAGTTGCCCACCCTATAGGCCGCTTGAGCTTTGTACATCTCCCGCTGGTTGCTCACCATATCCCCAAAACCAATGGTGCTGAAAGCCACGAAACAGAAATAGAGGGCGTCTAGGTATTCCCAATCCTCGGCTGCTGAGTACATGGCGGACGCGCAGCAGGAGACCACGATGGCGGCGACTCCTAAGATGAGCATGACGCAGTACACTGATGGTTTCCAGCCGGCTAAGCTGTCCGTGCGCCGCTCTCTGCTGTCGGTGGAGGGACGCTGGCAGTTTTGAGCCGGGCCGGCTTTGCGGCGTTCTCTGCGCTCGTGGCAGGACTTCAAAACGAATGCGATCACTGTGATGACTCGTTCCAGGAAGAGGTTAAAGAACAAAATTGTGGCAGCGCAACCAATAAGCCCGTAAAAGATCAAGAATATCTTCCCAGCAATAGTGACGGGTGTCGTCATCCCAAAACCTGTGGCACACAAAGAAATAAAATGAGGATGTGCTTTATAATGAGAAGATGTTAGACTTTTACACATTATAAAGCACGGCAAGCACAAATATACAATACAGGTTGCAAGACCACATTCTTTACTGTCATTATATTATAAACGCAACACTTTTGTTTTTGCCCCCATTTTTCATGAGCTGAACTCAAAGATCTGAGACTTTTTCTATGTACACAAAAGGCCTATTTCTCTCAAATATTGTTCACAAATCTGTCTAAATCTGTGTTAGTGAGCACTTCTCCTTTGCCGAGATAATCCATCCACCTCACAGGTGTGGCATATCAAGATGCTGATTAGACAGCATGATTATTGCACAGGTGTGCCTTAGGCTGGCCACAATAAAAGGCCACTCTAAAATGTGCAGTTTTATCACACAGCACAATGCCACAGATGTCGCAAGTTTTGAGGGAGCGTGCAATTGGCATGCTGACTGCAGGAATGTCCACCAGAGCTGTTGCCCGTGAATTGAATGTTAATTTCTCTAATACATAGAAAAAGTCTTAGATCTTTGAGTTCAGCTCATGAAAAATGGGGCCAAAAACAAAAGTGTTGCGTTTAATTGCGATTAATTGCATACAAAATAAAAGTTTTTGTTTGCGTAATATATGTGTGTGTTCTGTGTATATTTATTATGTATATATAAATACACACACATACAGTATATATTTAAAAATATATATTTACATATATTTACATGTCTATATTTATATGCACAATTTATATTATAAATAAATATATTTAATATATAAACAACATACTTTTCTGAAATATATACATGCAATTTTTATAATTTATGACTTTTACATTTCATAGTATTTTTTTGTAATTATTTATTTATTTTAAATAACTTTTGTTATCATATTAGTGCTTTTTACATTCAGTCCTAGTCGTAGCTAAATTTCTCCAGCCTACCTACCAGACAAAATCTGATTTTCTTTATAGTCATTCAAAATATTAGATAAAATTGTTATATTTATATATTAATATATATTAATATATTTATACTTTATATAGATTTGATATTTTTTATAATTTTATACTTTTATATTTTTGTTTAACTTTTATAATTTTAATTTATTTAATTTTAATAAGATAATTGAATTTTTTTATATAATTGTATATTTTAGAATCTAATGTTTTTAGTGTTTGTCACATTCAGTCCTTTTTTTTTTGGCCTATATTTGACTCAAATCTTTTTTTTTAAGTCTGAACAGTAAAAAAAAAAAAAAATGAAATCAACAAGCTTGATCTAAACCAATCATACATGGTTTGAAAAATATTTTTTAAAACTTAAAAAAATATAAATAATAAAAATTGTTAATGCTTCTCAGTCTGAACGCTTAGATCGGATTTCATGTTTAGTGTTTTTACATCAGGATGACATTAAGACATTTCATATTCCACCCTGAGTCATTTTCATGCTTTCATCTCTATCAAATGTGTTCAGATTTGGAAAATGCTCTCAATTAAACATAATTAATGCAAAACATTGCTAAAATCTTACACATGTTGAAGTTAAAAAATTTTGTGTTTAGAAATAATCAGATCTGGCCACACATAACTTCCAATCAGTCTCAAAAATAAGATTTGAGAAAAAAAAATAAACTACAGTGTGTTTTGACAAAGTAATTCCATATAAGTTAGCTAATATAACCTACAGATGTCAAAAGGTCATGTTTGATGTAGATCATATGTGTTGCCTCTACACATAATAAACATCAACCACTACAGACCTTCATTCTCTTGTAGGGCTACAGTGGATTAGCACATGCAGCTGCTGTGGTGTGTCATACTGCTGCAGGAAGCCGGTTAGGACTAATTAGAAACTGAGCTGTAATTGTCCTTTAATGAGCAGCATGTGCTCCAAATCCCATGTGAACCCTGGGCTCCAATCACCTCCACCATTCAGACAACTCCACTTTCCCTTCTTCACAAACCACTAGAAACAGGTTGCCATTGGTGACAGAAGCCGTACCATAGGTTTTTTTTTTTTCTCGTATTATTAATTTTACCAATTTATTTTGGTTAAGATTTCACTGAAATTAAATTCTGAAAGCATAATCCACTGGCATATTTATGAAGATCTTTTGCATTTAACCTAAAATTAGGTGCATGAGATAAACTGAACCATCTAAGACAAAATACTAAGACAAATTACATGATTGATAACTGTCTGTTCATATTCATTGTATGAACTTTCTGTCTTCTCGAATCTATAAGCATAGCAGGAGAGGGTAACAGAGTAAATATTAATAAGGCTAAAATAAACTGCCCCTGCTCTGCATGATTCTGTGAAAGCATCTCATTTTTATGCACGAACTGCCAGATGACAGACTGCATGGAAATAAGATCTGATGCATTTAATATATTCTAATTAGCCCTTTTGCAAACACAAATCTGACACATGCTGAGAATTAATAAAAGTTGGTTTATGGAGATACTAATTCTCATGGGTTAATATTAAAAGGGTTTCACTTCACAAAAGAGCAAGTAGAAAATATTATCTGTGAGTTTTCATTGGTGGTGAATGATACGTAAATACATAAATAAATAGGTGATGTACCAGTTTAATCGATAGAATGGAATTATTTTAGATTTATCTGTTTATTGTTAAAAGTTTTTCACTTATGTTTAGGTTTAATCTTCATTTTCACAAACATGTTTTTTTTTTCTCAATATGGGTCTACACATCATATTCAACAATAATGTTTCATGTATGCATTAGCCTATAACTGTTGACAAGCATAGCATTCACTTCAGTGGATAAACAAAGGAGACACGTGATGGATTCAAAGATATTTTCAGCTCCATCTATTGAGCTGTCAAGACAGTCTGACAGAAAATCTTTGGGAACTGTGTTGACAAAAATAACAGTATTTTGCACATATCCCATAGATACAGTAGCCTATAGTTTATTTAGCCTACTTATTTATTTATTTATTTATTGTGTGTGTTTTACAGGACCTACACTCTAAAAAATGCTGGGTTGTTTTAACCCAACTTTGGGTCAAATATGGACTAACCCAACTGTTGGGTTAAATTTTTCAATTACATTTTTAACCCAAAAGTTGGGTTAGTCCATATTTGACCCAAAGTTGGGTTAAAACAACCCAGCATTTTTTAGAGTGTACTGAAGATGAGGAAAATGGTTTAAAAATCCCAAAAAATGTCTTTACAATTAGTGCGATTAAGTTGATATAATCAGAATTACGAAGTAAAAATTAAGATTATTAGAAACAATCAGAATTACGAAGTAAAAGTTAAGATTATTAGAAACAATTATAAAACGCACCATGCTTTGTGATGTTTAACTTACAGATGAAACGCAGAAAAGGAGGCTGACTTATAGATATTTTAGCCTAATTTTACAAATATCTGACAGTGTCGATGACAAAAAGAGCTTTTGAGTTATAGACAAGTTGTTTAGATAATGCAATAACGCTATATTTATATAATAACGAGAAAATGAAAGGAATTCGTTTGAACAGATCATCTCAGAGTCGTATTAAAGTGCAATTCCGTACAAACAAATGACAGGTAAATGTACAGAACATGTTTTTCCCCCACGTCTCAAGAATTAATAGCTGTTTCAAATCCATTAAATGATTAAACGAGATAATTAAAATCTAGTCTGTACACTACATTATTAATATCAGTAGCTAAGCTCACATTAGTGCCACTGAAACAAAACTATATCGTTATGAATGAGGTAAAAGGTAAGGACCTGTTGCGCGTTACTTTACTGTACTTCCGCTGACTAAATACTGTAATAGCCTAGATTTAACAGCTTCTGAAATGTTGCAGTCTGACGTAGGCCTATTTTATCTAAATATAAGACCGTTGCAGTTCGATTTAGAAGGTTATCTTCAACTCACCGATAGTTGAAACCACAGTTCCGACGAAATAAAAAGCTCCCGCGAAATCCCACCTCGGTCTGGTGGCGTCCACGCGGATCCCCGCCACATTGGCCTCCTCATAGTTCCTCAGGAAGTTCTTCAGGTCGTCTTGACTCAGGTTGTACTTGTGGGTGAACTGCTCGATCCTCTGAGCCCATCTCTCCCTGGCGAGCTTCTCCTTCGGATGCTCGAGCGCCGAAAACACCGCTGCCCCACATAACAGGTAGATGATGATCAGCAAAGCCAGCATGAGAAATCTGGCGTTATCTTCATTCAGAGTACTGATGCTGGAGCAGCAGCATCCAGCCCGGCAAGCCATTATTATTTTACAGGAATATTATAGAAACACATGAACCACCACATCCCAGTTCATCATGGATCATGCATTTCTCTCTTCAGAGCTCTGCGTCCGGATATTTCAGAGATCTCAATCTCCGAAGCGGTGTTGTGCTCCAAATGTCCCGTTTGTGGCGGATCATGATGCGTGTGGACTGTGTGACCCCAGCCTCTCCAGAAGCGCGCGTGGATCAGATTGAGCTCAGTGCGTCAGATCAGATCACAGCAGCAGCACATACGGCAGCAGCACACATACGGCTCAGTGACTGCTGAGGATGTCCGAGATGACAAAAAAGAGAAATCTTTAGTTCAAAACACATGTACCAAGTTGTTAAGAATGCATGCCTGTATTCAAGTTGATTGCAAACATAACAAATGTTGATTTAATGAGTATTAAAATGTCAAGTGGTGTAACCATCAGTTCAAAATGTCATCATTATTTCCCAATTTTTAAAGAAAAAAAAAATAAATAAATAAAATGCTTGCAAGGGCTGCATTTGTGATCAAAAAATACAGAAAAAATGTCATATTGTGAAATGTTATTACAATTTAAAATAACAGTTTTCTACTTAAATATATTTTAAGATGTAATTTATATCCGTGATGCAAAGCTGAATTTTCAGCATCGTTACTCCAGTCTTCAGTGTCACATGATCCTTATTCTAGAAATTATTCTAATATGCTGATTTGCTGCTCAAGAAATATTTTGTATTATTATCAATATTAAAAACACTTATGCTGCTTAATATTTGTGGAAACTATGATACATTTTGATTTGATGAATAGAAAGTAAAAAAAAAAAAAGCATTTATTTGAAATAGAAATCTTTTTGTCATCTTTACTGACAAATTTCAATAGTTTTTGTCTTTTGGCGCAATTTTTAGAAAGTTAGACCATTTGACATTTTTTACTTTTACCTCCACGAAAAGTTTCTAAATTACTTTTTTAATTTAGAGATTGACAACGTTACATCATAGAAGAGGTGTATTCAAGTTATTTTGGAATGAATTGCATTTTTTAATTTATGTTTAAGAACTTAAATGAACGCAAAAGAATGAACGTCACCTCATTGACACATGCACAAGTCTTGTAGATAGGCATGGTAACATTAAGCATGTTTGCATTATTAGATTAGATTGTGCGATGGGAATGCATCATTGCGATCAATAGTGTATGACCTTTTGGATCTGGTTGGGAAATTTTCAGCATTTACTCTGGGACGTCCAGAGGCAACTTCTGTAAATGTCACAGTTTGGAGAGGGAGACGAAAATCCATTATGCATTTAAGACAGACAGACACCATGCATTTATAGATTCGCTCCTAAACTGTCCGATTGATTAGTTTAGACATTGAGCAGAGCTGTGAAGTCTGATGCATTACGTTATTTTTAGAGCCTAAAAATGTGCTTGTCTTTAGAAAGTTTTCAGGACCTTGGATAGTTGATTCCCTCCATAATGAGTTCAGCTTGACAGCCATCTCTTATATTGTCATCATGATTGTGTCAAACAGTAACACCATGGTATTTTAATATCAAACTCTCTAATGCACGGCGTTACCATCATTATAATGCTATAATTCACAATACCTACCAAACTGTCTTGTCCCAAGATGTAAAAAAAAAAAAAACTGGTGTCCATGGTAACAAGAATTGGCAAAACAGCATAAACTGCGTTAAATGTGCTTCTGAGAGCATGGTGAGAAATAATGAGAGGAAACTACATTCATCCACAAAGCCTGTTATGGTGGTGCTTTCAGCCCAAGCACAGCAAGAACCTGTGGAAACATTCATATTCATGTAAATCAACGGTATCACATTGCTTAAACCAGAGGGAAAGGTAATGTTTAGATTTTACTGTAGTGGACCTTGCTGAGGCAAATTTAGTGATTACTGCTTATACTTGACGTATAACTTGCACATTCATGCTTACATTTATTTTATTTTTTAATTTTATTTATCTATTTTTTTTTCTCTGAATATAATTTCATCCTCCAGAACATAAAAAACACAACAGGACTGCTGCAGGCAGAGTTTTATTTTTGTATCATTGATATACTATTATGTTTGCTAATATTTAATTTCAGTAATTTTGTTGTGTTTATATTAGTTTTCATGTTTTTTGTTAGTTTTTTTTTTTAATGGATATATAGATTTTATTTATTAATTTTAGTTTATTTAGTTTTTGTTCTTTTGGTACTTCAAGTTAAACTAAACTAAAATGGGAAATGTTGCTTTGCCAACTAGCTGAAATAATTTTTTAAAATATATTTTATTTGATTTTATTTAACATTTATTTTATTTCAAGTAATACTTCTTTTATTATTATTTATTTAATTTTTTTTATTTTGCTTTAGTTTTTGTTAACTATAATAACCCTGGAATGGCATCACAGACATCCTGACAACCACCAAAAAAATGTCTTGTTGACTTTTGCATGCAACTCACATTTTTCATTTTCCACTCCACTTTTTCTTCATGAAATTTGTAAATCTAGTTTTAGAGAGCAATGCTCCATGTATAATCCTACGATGTTTTCTTTCCGTTTTCCTTTGTTAGTGCACCTGCTTTTGGCAAGAAGTAAAGGAAATGTTATTTTGGCTTCAATAGAGTTGCAGTGCTCTTTCGAAACACATCAGGAAGTGATTTTTACTACTGTGATTTCATATAGGTCAATGCGACACATCCCGTTCTTCCTCGAAATTCCAAGTTTAGACGTGTGTTGTTGTTTGTGATTAACATGTGAAGGTTGTACTGCTTTGTCCTTTGCGCAGCAGCACTGAACAATTCCATCTGATGTCAGGAAGACCTCCAAACTCCCAGGAGGCCGATGGGTGGTTTTGGTAGGACAGACATCAAACCAACTGTGTGGAAGAGGAGGGGCAGAAAAACACCAACACCGATCCAGCACAGAGACACAGGAGTAAAGACTGTTTAGATTTGCAAACAGTTGATGGAGATGCTGAAAATGTCCATTCTCGTCTGCTGTAATGTGATTTATTCACACAAACTGTTTTCTAATCATTAGTCCCACACCAGTCTTTGTTACTGTAAATGATGAATGGTTTTTGAATGAATGTGAAAATGATTAAATAGGTTTATGTGCACACAGTTCAAAATCTATGCCAATGTGACAGATGTGCAAAAAAAAAAACAAGCACCTTTTATCAGCAGTGAGAGGAACATCAGTCCGTTCCCTTCAAAGCTTTGAAGTGTAGCCGCTCCGCTGGGACATGGGGTTCATTCAGAGCGAGTCAACTGACTTTGGATCAAAATAAGGGTAAAAGAGAAAACAACCTCACTGGAATGATGAACTGAATTCTGCTAATGTTTTAATAGTGGTTTGATATCATGACACCAGTGGTTGTCAGTGAAATACGGGTCACAGGTCTGTGCTGACAATGGCATCATGACACTCATTTTCTTTTGTCTGGATATATTAATTCAAAAACACATAAAAAATGTAAATCACACAATTAATGACTTGAATACACCACTTCTATATTAAACTTTTTTTTTTTATTTTTATGATACTGTCCTGTCATCACAATGAGGAGCAAACTCATTCAAAATTACATAATCTTTTATTATAATTTCTTAAAATAGTACATTTGAAAAACAAAAGTCTGAAACATTTCTTTTTTTAAAGAAATTAATAAAAAAAATTGTTAAGAATAAATAAAAATGTATTTATTTATTGTTCCACAAAAGAAAGAATGTTGTACAGATTGTACAGGTTTAGAACAACATGAGGGTAAAATACAACATGACATTACCTTTATTTATTTATTTACACAATACATTAAAAATGCAAGTCATACAAGCAATGATTTAAATACACTGTCATGAACATGTTTTAATTCACGAATTAAAATGTATATTTTTTATTTTTTTACGCCAAAAATGTCATGGTGGTAGAACTTGTCCTGTCATTACAAATGAACAAAAACAATTATTTCATTCAAATTACTTATTAAACTTAAATTAAATTGGGCATAATCTTTTATTGTTATTTATTAGATCATTTTGCCTGTGTTAATGCCAACTGCATAAATTTTGGCACAGGTGTGTATTTTTATTGGAATTGTAATATTTTACCCTCATTTGCTTTAATAAATCTATTTTACACTAGGTACAAAAACAAATAGTTCCTTTTAGT